AAAACCATTATACCCTGATTTCCCATTTTCAATGGGTTCAGGGTATAAAAATAGATATCCTACGCATTTAAGCAACCTGAGATGAATCTGAAGTATTGTAGATATTTTACTTAATTTTACGACATGCGAGCCATATGCAAGACCCAACTAATTCTGTAATTTTTATGAAAAGTCCTTTTAAGGACGCCGCTGTCAGATGCTTCCTCTAACTGTCTGTTGGCTAGCTTAACGCTAATTATAGATTAGCTTAAGATTATCTGCTCATTTATATTACTTTATGCACAATCACAAGCTTTAATGCAAAGCACCAAGTGCTTGCCGTTCACCTAGAAATTGACTAACTTTTTTGTATTTGGCAAGTGGCCACACGGAACGATAGAGCGACTTTGTCAAATGGCTGTGGGTGTGGCAAACAGCAGCAGCAGCGGCAGCGGCAGCAAGAGCAATGGCAACGCCAACGCCTCGTCCATTCGAAAAGCGATTTATGTGCTGCCAATAAATTTACTCAACACTTTGGCCCCCAACTAATACAATATTTACATCAAATCCTTGTAATACATGAGGCAGTTGGCCCGCCTGTGGGTGGCCCAACTGTGAAATGTCTAAAGTAAAAAATAGCAGTGCGTATTTCTGGCGCTCGTTGCTGGCTGGCTGGCTGGCACTGGGACCCCGTCATGTATCAACGGAGCTTCACAGCTGCCGCTGCCGTTGCTGCTGCTGCTGCTGGTGCTGCTGCTGGTGCTGCAGGCGGCGCCCCTCCTAGGACTGTCATTTAAGTTAAAAGCGCATTTGTAAGTGCGTTGTGACTGCTCCGAGTTAAGGAGCTGGCTTCAGTGCTAGCGTATGGAATTGGAAGGTCTGTGCCTGGGCCGGGGCCAGCGACTGTTGCTGGGAATTGAGATGGGTTTGAGTTCGTATTGGGGTCGGTCGAAAGCGAGCAGGCGGGGTACTGCCTTTGGCCTGGGAGCCAATTTCAATCCCAGCGCGCTTTTTAAAAGCAAATCTGGCACAAGCTGCGCACTTCTTTGCGCACTTTATGTCTGTTGTGCAATGCTTTAGCATTTTCTCTCTCTCTCTCGCTCCCTCTCTCTCTTGGCCCTGGCGGCACTTTATGACGGCGTTAAGTGTTCAGCGGTAAACGGATCAGGCTCGGACAGTCAAAAGTGATGACATTTACAGCACCGGCTTATCCGGGCTTAACATAAACACATATAAACAGCAAACAACTATTTATCATACAGCTTTAAGTTATAAGCAGCATATAGAGATGCTGCGGATGCTGCGGATGTTGTGGATGTGGACCTAAATACGATTTACTTAACATGAGCTTCATTTCAGCTGGAGCGAGAGACTGGGAAAGCTAAGCTCGACTTTGTGACTCGGCATGGCTAACATTATTTTAGATAAATATTTACAATAATATTTAGAATGTCTTGTTTTAAATTTTATTTCAGTTTATTTTTTTTTTTTAAAAAAAAAAAAATTTAAAAAAAAAAAAAAAAAAATATATATATATATATATATATATATATATACATTTAAATATAAATGTATTTTTTTTTTTAATATTAAAATATGCTTTAGTCATTTATATATATATTTTTTTAAATATCTGTATTGACATTTCATAAAACAATATTCAAATTAAGCTTAGGAAAAGATGCCAAATTTTCAATTATTACGGATTATAGTATACAATACACGAGCTTATATATGTATATATGTGTATAATTACAGCCGACTCTCATTATTTTTTAACTCGGGGGACTCTTAAAGCATTACGAATTATCGAATGTTGTAAGTTTTAAATGATTTAAAATTTTTTATAGAAAATAAATAAACCTTCGAGCTGTCAATTATGAAGGAATTTTATTTCACTGCTGGTATTTTATATATTCGTAATGTATGTTCGAATTAGAATTCTTTGAAAAAAACTTATTCAAATGGGTTCGCTTCGAAGCACAATGCTGCTGTTACGGCTTTTCAATACATATTTCTTTTTTATGGAGGAAAAGTGTCTGATATCAGAATTGGCACTCACTTTATAATTCGAATTACTGAGTGCATAAATATATATGAACATAATTTGAAACATAATGAGATATTGTAGGGTACTCGTGATAACTTTGAATAATGAGAGGCTCGAAATATTGCAGGTTGGAAACAACGAGAGTCGATATTATATATGTAAAGCTTCAAGCATTTAGTCTCTTTTGTGGCTTGTGAGATCTATGTATGCATACGGACGGACGGACAAACAGACGGAATCGACTCAGTTAGTTTAACAGATTAAGAATACATATAGTTTAATGGGTCTGCCCCGCCTCCTTCTGCCATTATGTGAAGGTGTTACAGATACCAATATATGTATACTTACATATATAATCACTTGAAAGCACTCTATAACCAAAGTGGAAAACACATATCAGATTATGATTTTATTTGTACATGCATATATGCACACATGTGTATATATTTATGAGCGAGCTAATTTGACATGTTTTTCATAAATGTTCAACTACAACAACGAATTGTTAGCTGAAATAAAGAAAAATGCACAGTCAAAGCTGTAAATAGCATGGAATTATATAATCAATTCGTTTTGCCCAAATGCATTTAGTTCGTCTAATTATTGAAATTTAGAGAACAAAATTGTGAACGAGAAAATCCAAAAGCAATGCCAGCGAGACTTCTTCTCTTCTGGCTTAGTCTGCTGTACTTCATCAATTGTGTTGTTAAAATATCGAATTTGAACAGCTTAGACAAACAGAGCTCTCTTTACAGTTACGCAATAATTATGTAAATTGATGCGACTTTGAGAATTTTCGATGTAAAAACTTCTGGCTCTTATCTCGATGGTTCTTCTATAAATATTGATACAGCTGAGGCATACAAAACTAGTTTTAGACTATTATCTCGTGCTACGCACTTAAAGTCCCGTTGTAAGAAGAACAATCATAATAATCTAATCTATGCATGCCAAAATTCAAATGCTCTCAGAACAGTGATTAATTAGCAAATGACAAAGCCACAAGTTGTTGGGCCAACGATCTAAATGGCAAATTAGGTAATATGCCAGGCAGTGTCATACAGTTATTATGCTCTGCCTCGGCCATTTCCATATGTTGGCTAGCCAGACGTAAACAATCTAAACGCATCTGAATAGTTTCTGTGGGCCCCTTTCAGGGCGCTTCACAGCAGCCGCATACGAGTTGCAAGCGAGTCGATACGCGACTGCCAAATGGCGCAACTTGTCGATGTTGCAACATGCAACAGCAGAGCCGTTGTAGCTGTTAACTTACAGCGCCAGCTGTGAACTCATTTACTATTAGCCCAACTGTTCTAATCTGTTGCCTCTGCTGTTTCAATAGACCCCTTACGCCTGAGATCGCATCGACATTTGGCATCATGGAATCTAATTAAGACTCAATGACTCTATACACTTCAATTGATGGCAACAGGAATCAGTCATGGTAGCTCGGCCACGATACAGCGCATCGCTAAAAAACGTGCCCATGCTCGAGTTGTAGAAAATCGCAATGAGCTGCAGAGAAAGAGTGTGCGAGCGATAAGTAGACTCATGGAAAGTCGACGTGACAGAGAGAAGACTTTAAGCCATGTACATGTATATATAGAACAATCGGATGCAGGTTGACCAGTAAACGCAGCAGCTAAAGCTCGTCAGTCTTGGAGCTATATATATATATATGGTATATTAATTAAAAGGTATTTACTTTGAATTATATTCTATATAGTAAATTTTAAAACTTAATAAGAAATTAAAAGTCGAATAGCAATGAGCCCTGATCTATATACATATTAATACAAAATATTTCTTATTTTATGCGATTATAGGTAATTCCGTTCAATATAAGAATTCGATCGCGAAAACCAAATTAAAAATATAAAAAAAAAGTCTAACAATTTTCGGCTCTTATTGCACAGAAAACTTGTGGCCAACTGCCCTCAAAACAAACCGGAAAATTAGAAAATGTAATGCGAATATTTCATGTAAGCCGCATATGTGCTCAGGACAAATGATAACACAGAAACCGTGAAAACGTGGCGACAAATAGTCAAGTGCTTCGACAGGCCTCGTTGATAGAGCAGTTCGTAATGGTCCATAAAAAGAGAAGCGACAAAATAAATAAGAATAAATGAAGAACATATCTATACGTGTGCAGTAGTTATGTTTATCTGTACACAACATAAACATTTTAGTTAAATGTTGCGCTAAGGCAACTGTGTCTACGTAAGCGCTGCAGCAATCTATTCGGTTGAGAGTTAACTGCGATCCGAGCGGAGCCGCCGACCACAGTTCAGCGGTGGCTGTCGCAAGCCAAGCATCGAGCGTTAAGCGTGGATCGGCATTCAAAGTTGAACTGAAATTGGAATTGAAATTTGAATAGGAATTTGAATTGGAATTTGAATTGGAATTGGAATTGGAATTGGAGTGCGTTCACATCTCTACAGCAGCGAGCAAGTGGAGAGCCAACTGAGCGCAATATGCTGACGGGTCATGTGCGCTTGGGCAAATTACTCTTCGTGATCATCTCCATAAAGCTGTTCATCATGGTCATGTTCTTTAGCTATGACAGCTCGAATGAGGTAGTTCCACCAGAGCGCTTTGTGATCATCGATGAGCTGCTGGTGGACAAAAGCGATGGTAGGTCACAATGGCAACATGTCACAATGGCGGTTAATTGAGTTGTTAATTAAACATTGGCATGTTCTAGAGCCCAGCTGGACGGAACAGCTGAAACTGATACGAAAGGAGCTGCCCTCATTTCCGCTCGAGGAAATGCTGCGTCGAAGTGCGGAGACACCGAAATGCGGCCAAGTGCCCGGCCCCTTGAACATCGATTTCAGCAACGACTATTGGCAAACTTTCCTGAATGACAACCTCACTTACCACATCTATGGCGCCTACTACGACAACAGGGAGATGATGGGCGAGGCGCCGGTGGTGCGCGTGCTAACCATGATCAATTACTATGGCCAGCATGAAAAGATGCGCTATCCGGCAACCTTTTGTCAGCTCTGGTTCAGGGATCGCGTCGAGCCGGTTGTCGTGAATGTCACAGATCACAAGTTAATTTGGTTATGGGGCGGTTCCTCGGCCTATTCCTACCCAACGCTCCTCAGCTGCTGTTTGCCCAAAACGAACGGCAGCAACGCCCAGGAGGCACCTGAAATGGTGTCGCTGGTAACGCAGCCCTGCGACAAGTCACGGAATCTAATGCGTGTCACTTACGAGCCGGACGAAAGTAGTACAGCTGTCACAGACGTTGCGCAGAAGCAGCAGCCGGAACAGCAGCAGGAGCAAACGAACAACACGCAACTACAACGGAAACCATTACGGTTTATGGTCTGCCTCAAGTGCATGGACTTTATCTACAGAGACTTGTCCTGGCGCCTAATTGAGTGGCTGGAGTTGATACGCATTCTGGGCGCCGACAAGGTGGTCTTCTATGATTGTCAGATACATCCGAACATAACGCGAGTGCTGAACGACTATATGCAAACCAGTCCCGGCTTTGTGGAGCTGAGGCCCATCTCGATGGCACGCGGCGAGCCGCACGCTATGCCACACTTGCAGCACTATGCGATGCATGCGGACACCTTGAATCGCTTACTGAACGAAATGATACCGTACAATGACTGCTTCTATCGCAACATGTACAAGTACGACTACATTGGCGCCTTTGACATTGATGAGGTGATCATGCCGCTGGGCAATGTCACCAATTGGACAGATCTAATCGATCTGGCGTACAAGGTGCCCGACTATCAGCGGGAGACGTGGAACTGCAGTGAATGGGTTAGCTTTTGCTTTCGCAACGTCTACTTTCCGGCCTACCCCGAACGACCCAAGGTATATAAGCAGCTGCCCAGCTTCTACTACATGCTGCAGCATGTGGAGCGCGTTGCCGAGCACAGTGATCGATTTTCGGCCACCAAGTGCCTGCACTCCACACGCTATACGATCGGGCTGCACAACCACTTTCCACTCTTTCGGGCGGATACGGGCGAGTGCGAGGCGAAATCGGTACCCATCCAGTATGCCCAGCTGCAGCACTACCGCGAGCCGGAAGACAAGACTCTCCTCTTAGATAATCCCATCATAGACGACAGCATTTGGCGATTTCAGCCGTTGCTGCAGCAGCGTGTCTATGCCCAATACGAGCGGCTCGGCTTTCTGCCCAGCGTGGAGCAGGTGCTGATTGCCAAGGAGCAGCGTCACAAGGACGACGAGCTCCAATTAAACAAATCAATCTCAATGGGGTAGATTCTCGTATCTCATCCAAATGCTAGGCTGGCGTGTTTTTTTTGTTTATATATACACTTTTTTTTTTTTTCTTTATTTAATAATGTAATGGCCCACCCGTAGATTAGGCTCTATCAAGGTTTCCAAGAACTATATTGGCTACATTATCTAACTCGTTAAACTCACACGCCGACTATGTAGCAACTGGAACTTTGTTAGATCGATAAGCTGTCATACTACTTTTAAATGTAAATATAAATTTCAAATTTAAAAATACCCACAATAGTCAAATGTAAATATACGTGTAGAAATAGACGTTCTTGAAAAGATCTGCTTAAATGTTTTCTATTTATGTTTTTCGTCACCTCCATTGTATTGGATTTACCAATCCAATGTTGATGAATTGTGAGCTTTGCTGGAATTTCAATGATCTGAATATTTGTTTTAGCGTCAGCATAACAATCGCTGCGGCCAAATACTACTAGATAAATACTAGAACTAGATAAAGCCGGCAAACAATCGGCAAATGTGGCACTGTTGCTTGGCGCCGAGCTATGCATGGGAGACGCTCTCTGGCTCTGGATCTGGGTCTGGGTCTGGCCTAAGGCGCTGACTGGCGCATAGCCTATCTGGCAAACTAAACGTAAACACAACTAAATGGTAAACGAAACCAGCCTTAGTGTGTGTGTGTGTGTGTACTCAGAAGTGCGCACAAAAACGCACCTGAGCGCAAATGAATGATGATGTTGTGCAGTCGCTACTTTTTGTCGATGCAACATCCTGCGCCGGCTGCGCCTTGCCCACAGCACAGTGGTCAAACGTAGTCAATAACTGGATGAAAAAATATACGAAAGACAATTTCAAGTAATTCAATTGTTTTTTAAAGTAAAGCTTAGTAAAAATATACAAATTTACTAATAAATACAGTATATATAGAATATACAGTATATACAGTATATACAGAATCTGCATATTACGAAAGTTCTGAGTCCCCAGATAAACTTATGTGAGCTAAGTTATATGGCCTAGCAGCTGCCTGATTTAACGACCGTTCGTAGAGCATGGCTATAACTGGATTCTGCTGGATTTATTAAATACAAAGCAAACGGAATGCTGAATACGTATATTAGGCAGACGTAATATAAGCTTTGTAGTCGGCCTTAAGTTTGGCTTTTAGACTGAGTTTTATTTTCACATTATTTTTATGATTCTTTAAGCATCTCAGAATCAATTCAATTTGGTTTGATGTGATGGACTGCGTATGGCCTTCAGATGGGCAACAAAAACGTGCAAGCCGCCTGAGTGTGGCATGTCGATACTTTGGCTCGATCGCGATATTAAATCTGTAGTGAGAACACAATACTCGATTACTATCGGCTAGATCTATTGAATATCATTTGGCATTTGCTCTAAAATACATAAAAAAAAAGTATAATATGATAAATATTATTGTTTATATCATAGACTCAGTTTTCTCTCCAGACTATACAATTTTGGCACGTATTAAATCGATTTTTAACCACTGTGCAACTGGTCGTCGCGCTCGCTGCTCGTTGGCATCCTTTTGCTGCTGCTGCTGCTGCTGCTTGTTGCATCGTTTTTTGGCTCATATGTTGCAACCTTTCGCTTAAGCAAATTGCCAGCGTATGTGTGTGTGTGTGTGTGTGTGGCTTGATGAGTTTGCGTTTGCGTTGCCTCTGCTGGCTCTGCGGCAGTGCCTTGTACTTGCGGCCAGCAAAAGGCGCTGAGTTATTGTACTCGTGCAATGGAAGCAGCGACAGCAGCGTTTTCCCAAAATGGCAAAGTGAACCTGGAGGTGTTTTCATGCCAAGCCAAATGCTCTCTCGCCCGCTCTCTCTCTCTCTCTCACTCTCTCGCTCTCTCACTGCTACTCATTCTGTGTATGTGTGCTGCATTTCACTTAAAATGCTTTTAACCAAAACATTAAGCAGCTGGTGTCACATTACATCACAATGCAGACCAGACGTTAGCTGCTACAAGCCGCAGCAACAGAAGCAGTGGCTGCCGCACGAGCCACTTGAATCCCTGAGTTGCAGCGCCCGCCCACAAATTAATGGCTTAAATAAGCTGCGAAGCTGGCTAAGAAACCAGATAAAGTTATGAAAACGTAAACGAGATAAAAGCATAAACTAGAATTAGAATATATCTAAGCTGAGCATGTATGTATGTACATATATTTATATGGGATATAGGATATACATATATGTATGCACGTGCATAAAGGCAAATATAATTAGCTCGTCGTTTAAGCTTAACTTGCAGGACTTCGATGCAATACAAAGCAGCTAAGAGGCGGATCAAGAATACACGTATACTGTCTGCAGTCTCTGCCCCGCCTGCTCCTCCAATTACCCACATTAGCCATTCCAGCAAGCTTCATTTAAATCATATCAACTAATTTGCATATATTAAGCTTCTATATTGAATCAGAGACCTTTGATAGGGTTTCAAATGGCCTTACATCATTAATTAAATAATTTATAGAGAGAAAAAACATTATAAAGCTGTGTGTGCTCGCTAATTGTTAATGCATTTAAATTGTTGCATTATTTAACGGCATTTATTCAAAACAAATCAGTTCGCTTCGATGTGATTCGGTTTCAATTACTTTGCATTTGTTGTGGAATCGTGTGATTGCAGTTTGACTAATTAGTGCAACACAAATTGTGAACAAAAAGGGCCAAATGCAATTTATATACATACACATGTGTGTGTGTGTATACTCATTTCTATATATACATACATATCTGTACACAAGCATACATACAGCCAATGCTCGTTATTTACCTAGAAAGCAGAACAACAAAAATGCATTTAATGCTTAACCAGAGAAAGAAGGCAACAAAAACGAAAGAAAATTGAAAATAAATTACATGGCAAAATGTGAAAGAGCCATGGGCAAAGCTTTTGTCAGCTTATTAGCTGAAAATGCCGGCTAGTTCCGGCCGGATCGGGCTACTTGATTCGTGGCCCTGCTCCTTGTGGAGCTTAGCGCTCAAACGGGCTTTGGCTGCACCTTTCAAACGTAAACGTCAATGCCATAGCCAGGTAAACACACACACACACCCACACACAGACATGCACACGCATGCAAGCATGGCTAAAGCGCAGTCAATCAAGTCGTTTATGGTCTTTGCAGCTAATACAAATGGCTGAGCATTATATATGCACCCAGGCACACCCCCACACACACAGACATAACCTACCCCCTCTCTCTCTCTCACCACTCTTCAGCAATTGATTGCTTGTTTATTCAAATTAAATTTTGCATAATAAACTAATCGAAGAACTAAGTCAAATTTGGCTCTGCTCCACACACTGCAGAGCCGGCTGGCATTGGCCTGCTTAATAATTGATGGAAACCTAACCGAGAATTGCCCAAAGATGCATTTAAAGCCGACACACAAAAGAGCAGCAGCAACAGCTCCGGCTGAAATAGTTGGATTCACTCACAACGCACCGAGCACACGACTCTGTCTATGCGTGGCGGCGGACTCTTTGGCAGTGTGCCGGCCAGTCCATAAATCACTTTAATGCCCGCACTCCAAGCAGCCGGGTCATGCACAGGCACCACCCGGCAGCCAGCCAGGGTTGTAGGTGGACTTTCTTGTTGGGACGCTGCCAGAAGCCAAGCCGGGGCAGAGCTGGGCGCTGCTATTCAAAATTCAAATCGAAAGGTCTGCCCTGATTTGCAGTTCACTTGGAGCGAGTGATTGATATCTTTTGAATATACTCGAATCAGTCTCAAAAACACATATACATACATATATGAATCGGGGCTGAAAAGAAGTTCATGAGGAGAGTATCCCGGGAGTATACGCTCATCAGCATCTGCTTAATATGATCTAGGCGGAAATCTAGTCGAAGTGAGATGGCCATCTTAATGAGCTGCAGCAGCAGCGTCCAGCATCCAGCATCCAGCATCCACTCTCTAAACTGCTCGAATATTGAACGTAAATAACGTAAAAGAGTTAATAGCCGTAATTTAAGTACGGACAGATTTCGTACGGAGCATGGGCTCATCTTTGGGTCAACTCTCGGCCGATTAAATGCGAGGCCAGCCAGCAGTAGCAGTGTGTTGTTCTGGTTGTCCAACTGCAGCTGAATCGTCAGCATGATTAATTGATGAAAATCCCTTTTGCCATGCAGGATAATAAATTACGATACACAGACCAGCACGGGCGGACAAACGAGTGAACGAGCAAACGCACGGACAGGTAGCATGTGCTTCAAATAGCTAACAGACAGACAGCCCACACACACACACACACATACAGAAAGAGGGAGAGAGAGAGGCGCGCTCAGATGAGGTCGTGATATGTACCGTGGCCCTGCATTGAATTAAACCACGGCCAGGACGAGTATGTCGACAGGTTCCGGCCAGGAAGGGCACGACGACACGTTGGCAGTTTCCCAAATTAGCTTAATTTCATTTAAAAACATAGCATGCTCTATGCCATTGTTGTTGTTGCTGCCATTGTTGTTAACGGCGACATGGTGGCACGCCCACGGTCGCGCCCATGGTCACGCTCAGGCCAACAAACAAGCATCAAGCAGCGCACATCACATATTCAGATGCATTGCTATTCATACTATTTATCTATGAATTAATATTGGCATTATTATAATTACTTATTATTATTATTTATTATTTATTATTATTATTACTTCTTATTATTATTTATTATTTTTATTATTATTATTATATTTTATTATTATCATTTTTATTATTATTATTATTATTATTATTATTATTATTATTATTATTATTATTA